GATCACACATTCGTAAAAAAACGACTTCGTCGTTGTTTACTTTACCCATTGATTTTAGTTGTGTTGCAGATCTTTTCTTGGTACATGTCATGTTGGTCTCACGCCCGAGAATTTTCTTTCACCCCTTGTCCGGCTCCGTGACATCACGTCTTGCAGTTCAAAGTGATTCACATACGTTTTGTGATTCATCCATTTTTTTCGTTAACTTGAGTAAAAGCAACTGTTTTGATGAGTACGCCATAGTGACATGATTTTTTTTACTTTTTTATAACGTGAGGTAAAAATTCATGTATCTTTTGGTTTCTTTGTTTACTTTAATGCTTAGTACACATTCTGGTAGGAAAGTTGAAGCGAGGTTCCAGTCAAAGTTCTGAACCAGCTTCAACGTGAATCAGTGAGTCATGTTCAAATCATGCCGTTTGTGGGATTGAGGTTAAGCTTTGTATTTATTTGTTCACGTCGCTACGCAGGGTAAATAAAATTCAACAGCGAGGAAATCAGATGAGTCTAACATTTGAAGAGACCTGTGCAGTACTTAAAGTTTACTTTTACTGTTACTTCTGTAATATATACATTTTCGCTAGTTCGATTTGATATAGTCGCCCCTAGTACAAAATGGAAATGCACGGCCATACCATTTGTTTCATATCAGGCTATATTACTGTGGCAGCTTTTCCTGTATTGCCGGTTGAGACGACTTCACCGAGATGTCGGGGGTAAAGAAAACTGACATTCGGACGAAAACGTTGGAAGGTATTCTGCGCCAGCACAATCGCTTATACTGATGTAGTCGTCGATCGATCATTTCATATGGATTGTAAAAAGGAGAATAGCTGACTTTGGACATTTTTAAATTGATAATAGCCTATGAGAATCTTCTTCACCAAACGTAAGTTTTGTTGCCGTTCTACTGATCTTCAGAGATACTAAGGTTCCTGAAGTGAGTTCTTGTAATGTCCTCCGTAACAACTATCATTCAATGAGTATGCGGTGTTAAAAAACAGGTTTTTTCCATCTCACAGCTCATTGTTTTTATGCAAGAATGGAATTTGAGTTGCATTTGAGTTGATAAGCAAATGAACTTTCATTGATGGATTGATCCATAATCCACAAATTTTCGAACATCCTATCTACTGTGCTAGATGCAGACAATATAAAACAAAGTTTGTTTTTAGTTGTCTGTTTTATCGAGTACTTATGTGTTCATGCGATGCTCTGTTATTATTTCTGTCTTTGTCTTTGTTGTTCATTATTTTATTGTTTTTTGTTTCATCTTTAAAAATGTTAATTTTTGAAGTTCCATTCAAGCAGTGAATTTCATTTATATTTGACATATGATTATGGCATTGCAGGTAACGAGCTGGCGTCAGAAAGACACATGAACAGTGACAGAGCGTGCGTTCTTTATTCATTTTCTTATAATATATACTCAGTATTCTCATTGCCATCAGCATCGCTGTCAAAATTTGCGATAAAATGACCCCTGTCGCTTTCATGACGGTGACTCAGTGTTAGACGATGGTCAAAACAGCTTCCGTCTCACTAGATCATCAGCGGATCGACTGACTGGAATAATATTGAGTTAAACTTCCGTCGCCATAAGCCGCATCTTTGGCGCAAAAATCCTTAATTTCGATAACTGTGCCCTAAAATTTTGATCTGTCATGAATGTTGGTTTATCCATTTCGACTATTTAGTTATTGAACTACTTGACACTCATCACGTGTTGAGTTTAAATACATCGTGAAAGAAGCTATCGAAAAAGTCGAAGATCGACTCTGTA